CAGTAGAGGGAGAGAGGAGAGAGAGAGAGAGAGAGAAAGAGGGAGAGTCACGGAGACGGGGAAGTGAGCGGGAAGCGCAGAGAAGGAACTTCATAGAAGGAAAGAATATGTGATCGGCCTGTAGTGTGTGAGTACGGCGTTTGCTGCGCGATGTGTTACTGCGCATGGTGTGGACATTTTCGTCGGCATTATTCCCTTCGCTCCGTCCCGTCTCTTTCTCTCCTCTGTCCTTCTCCTCCTCTTACTCCTCCCCTCGTATTCCCCTCTCGCGGATAGTATCGCCACGGCATCCAAAGTTTGCACGTGAAAAAGTAGAAGTAAAGCGACGGTTTCATCCTCAGACTTTTACCGCCCAAAGCACAAATATATCTATACGGCTATAATACGCTGTTTTCAGTTCTCACAAGCACACATGCACCACGCGACCGGGCGCGCACACTGGGTATGGTGCACGCACGCGTGCGCGTTATTATAGGCTAATTTCACTTTTTGTGCCTTCGGGGATTGAAAAAGTTTCGCTGAAGATCACGGCCATTTACTGCAAAGTTTTTCATGCTTGACTGTCGTGGGCGCATACTATCTGCCGAGAAGGGGAGTAAGAAGTGAGCAAAGGAAAAACACGGAAAGCCTGTATATACTACTATATTATCAAATAATATATTAACGACCTTAACATATATATATACATCTATTATAATAGATATATCTATATATATATACCTATATATATATATTTATATACATGTGTATATTATTATACGCGCACCGAGAAGATGAAACATCTGCGAGAAAGAGAGAGAGATACGAGAGAAGAGTACAAGACGCAAGGAGAGAGAGTGTGTGCTGTATATAATGGCGTGCGTGGTGCGTGCGTGCGTGCGTGAAGAGAATGCGAGCGAGGAGAGATAGAGAGTGAGAGAGAGAGAGAGAGAGAGCAGAAAGAGAGAGAGAGAGAGAGGGAGCGAGTGGTGGTGTGTGTGTCTGGGGTAAAAGAGAGGAGAAGAGAGAGAGAGGGAGAGAAAGAGAGTGAGATCACGGAGAGCGGGGGCGTACGAATAGTGTTTCTTTTTCGTTTTTCTTTTTATGTTTGATTTGAGAAGTTAACTATATATCATTAAAGGAAAGGAATATGTCTTTCTGTTATCGGTCCTGTGTGTATTCTGCCGTTTGTGTCGTATCGTTGCGTTGTCTGCGGTGTTGTACTGCGGCATGCGTTGCATCATCTCCGTCTGCATTATTCTCCTTCACGTCCTTAGCCCTTTCTTGCTCTTGCGTCCTCCTCCCTCGTGATTTTCCTCCCCTCTTGCGGACAAGTATCGCCCACGGATCACTTGCACGATGAAAGCTAGCCAGCAAATGGCCGGTTTTCAGCTCAACATTTTCCCCCCTCCCCAGACAACATAATGATATCATAACAGCTTATATCACGACGTTTTTACAGTCACACAGCACACATAACACACGCGACGGGCGCACACACAGCGCGGTATGGTTGCACGCGGAGTGCGCTGTTTTTTGGTATTACTTTTGTGCCTCGGGGAGTGAAAAGTTTCGGCTGAACTACGGCCATTTACTGACAAAAGGTTTCCATGCTTGCTGGCTCGTGGGCCGATACTAGTCTGCGAGAAGGGGAGTAGAATAAGTGATTACATTTTATTCATGTTAATCGTTTCTGCCTGACACGCAGACGAACAGGCTCAGCATAAATAACCCGGCAAACTGTTTATTATTATTCTTAATCCTTTATTTGCATGTATTTCAACTACAATACATGTACGGAAGGACATATATGTATGTTCTAATTATCACTGTATGTATATATATATCTATGTGGGATACAGTGTTGGTGGATATATCTCTGAGGGATACATGTTAAAGTAAACTTTACTATCCGTTATATTGCTGTATTAAAAACACAAATATTGGATGTACAGTCCGTAATCACCGAGCTATAGCGGCTGTGTAATTGCTATACGGCATCTCGTGTAAAACACTATTTAAACTACTTGTCAGCAGATGTTCTTGAAAAAATCATTCAATATTGTGGAACCATGACCGCACGCCCCGCTCGCGCGCGCACGCACGCACGCACGCACGCACGCCACACACCCACACACCCACACACGCCGCACACCACACAAGCACACAAATTTATTCATAATTAAGAATGAATAACAACAATAGAATTACCAACTGGTTTCAAAGCACTATTGAATTTGCACACGTCGCGTATAAATTATGCTGCATGCATTAATTTGTAAAGTCAGCTTTCAAGCAACCATACTAAATCAATTATGTATACATTAACAATCGCATCTGGCCTTGATCTAAAGCTAAACAATTTTCATTCGGATATTGATTCTGCTTCTATTATAGATTCAAACTTTATTTCATTCTCTTTACATATCTCACAAATGAGGAGATGATGATGATGACGATGAGAACGATGATGATGATTTACGCGAACGATGTGATGATGATGATGATTGATGGCGATGGGACTACGATAATGATGATGATAATGATAATGCAGGGATATCTACAGACAGCAGTAACAATGGCAGTTTTGACTTCACATGAACTTCGCATGTAATTAATTTTATTATATAGTACCTTTACTGACTCCACCCCCTGACACAGTAACATGTCAATAGCACAAACGAGTCACTTGATAGCCAATGATTCGATCACGTTAGGTGCAAGTCGTGCATATACATATACTTGAGTTATATATGTCATACTATATATTATATAGTAGTACATATATATATATATATATATAGTACATTATATAATATACATATATATCACTAGAGGAACGCCGAGAGTAAAGGCGACCACGGGCCCAAAGTGGAATGTCTCAGCACGATCTAATGTTGATGCCCCATCTATCTGTGACTGTTTTCATTAGAAGCTCGTTGATGAATGCATCGTTTTTGATGGACGCATTTGCATGAATCAGGTATGGTAACTTTTTTGACAAAGTGCTGTTTCTATGTGTTTGAAATAATATTTTGGTTGAAGATGAATATCTGCATAAATCACTGTGATCTTTGGAATTCTTATGTAGGTATTTTGTTGATCTAAGGGCGCTATGTGTGCAATATTGCATGAGACATTTTTGTGTAGTTGTCTGCACAGCGTGAAGCGCCACATGTCTAGAAACTATCATGTGTTCGGGGCAAGTAGGATGGCGGGCAAAGTGGAACAGGGTTCGCACTTGCCCGGGCATATTTGAAATGCGCTACAATATAGTCATTATTATCAGATTTCTTATTTTTGATTGATTAGTACTTCTCAGTAGCAGGTAGGCCTATGTCTTGTCTTTGCATCATTTTAACACCTAACTCGGACCACTTGGCATAACTGTTCTTCCGAGACTTAATTATTGTATAAACGTCCTATAATGGCATTGTTTCTTTCATATTTTAGACAAATGGTAACGCAATATGATTTGATGTAAGAGTTAGACACTGGAAGAGACGCAAATTTGTTTGACACATATACATGGAGTAAAATGACATTCCACCTTGCCCCCATAAGCAGGTTTCCACTTTGCCTCGACCGAGAGTCTAGGGGCAAAATGAAATATTTAATAAATTTTATACATTTTGTATATTTCAACTAACAGTCGTTATTATTAAACGTTAATTAATGTTTTGTACCGCCTCTTAAGTTCTTGTCTAAGCCAAAGGATTAGGAGCCAAAACACATTTCACTTTGTCTCGCTTCTTTCACAGCTGTTTTGGGCAAACCAATTTTTCGGTCACTTTGCCCGGGTCCCTACTATGATAGCCAGAGTAATAAAAGTTTAAAAAAGAGTCGATGTACAGCAAAAGAATTGGTCTATAGCAATGCCTCAAATCACGATATACACTCCCGAGACTTCCTATGACGCAAGTCGCCTGGAAGCTCGCCTACCTCAGAACGCAAAGCTGCACGGACGCTTCAAAAGCAAGATGTAGGTAGTAGGTCAGCTAGTAGCTAGTAGTAGTAGTAGTTAGTAGTAGTAGTAGTAGTCAGTAGCAGTAGCAGTAGCAGTAGCAGTAGCAGTAGCAGTAGCAGTAGCAGTAGCAGTAGCAGTAGTAGCAGTAGTAGTAGTAGTAGTAGTAGTAGTAGCAGTAGTAGTAGTAGTAGTAGTAGTAGTAGTAGTAGTAGTAGTAGCAGTAGTAGTAGTAGTATCGTATGGCGTCAACATCACGCGTCCACAGCCCCACGGGAAATCCAGTTGCAAAAGAGTTCGCCAGATGCATTTATAGTGACATATCCTCCCTGGTATATGGTAATACGGTAACATCCTAGTTGGCCTACTCCCATTTCACCTACTCTCAGAATGGGTAATATTCCCATTTCGCCTACTCCCATTTCGTCTACTGTCAGAATGGGTAATATTCCCATTTCGCCTACTCCCATTTCGTCTACTGTCAGAATGGGCAATATTCCCATTTCACCTATCCCCATTTCGTCTACTCTCAGAATGGGTAGTGCTATTTCGTCGTAGTATTGATATTACAACAAATACGAGGAGAAATTAGTGTGAATGACACTCCGTCTAGTCTATGTACGCTAATCAAATCCACATATTACATATATAAATGATTATTTACTGGACAAACTGATGGTAGACAAAATGGAAATGGGGTGGATTTTTAGTGTAGACGAATTGGGATTAGGCGAAATGGGTGCAACTAGGAGTTTTGCTATAGACGAAATGGGAATTTTGCCGTAGGCGAAATGATGAGGTTACACCTGCTCCCAGGTCCACACCTCCACAGTAAAAGCAAGTGAGTACGCTGCATTCGTGCGCACGCGCAAACAACCGTAAACAGTTTCCGAATTCGCAGATATGCCTACAGAGAAAGATACAGCCGACAATCGGCAGTGTAAACGCAAAAGTTGTGCAACCAACTGATCGATAGCAACTAGTTGGGAGATTAGAACACGTTCTATTTTCGCCAACTCGGAGTTACCGAATTGGGAAGTTGGTCCGACTCACCAATTCGCCAACACAAAGTCGGTAGTGTTAGCTTAAGTTGACGGCGTGACAAGACGATTCGCTCGTTATATATAATTATCGCTTCAGAGAGGGGACGGGATTCGCTTATTAAACCTTCACAGAGCGGAATAGACAATTCGCTCATTAACGAACTAACTCTTCAGCGAGGGGACGCCATTCGTCGGGGTATCTGTTTGCCTTCTGTCGGCGTATGCGCAGTGAGGAGAAGGTCCGGATTTCTTCCCGATGCTCCGGACAGGAAAGTTTTCGTCTCTCCGTGTTTCAACTCGATGAACGACGTCGGGTCGGCCAGTTTGTTATCGCGAGCCTCGTACAAGTCCTTCACCAGCTGGTAGTACTCCTGAGGAACAAAAAACACAAGGCAGTCAGGTAAGCGATCGATTCCGTCATCTCACTCAACTCATTTAACTCATTTAACTTAAGTCGTTTAACTGTTATTCATTTAACTTAAGTCATTTAACTGTTATTAATTTAACTGTTATTCATTTAACTTAAGTCATTTTAACTGTGTCAGAAGTGGTGTCGGTGAAGGTGCTATATATGCAGTTATGTGATGGCAAAACTGCACGTAATGTTCTGTGATGTCCTTGCATCATCATCATCGTTGTCGTCATAATTTCAATAATTTACTGCTGTTTTAATAATTTAACGTACTCCTGCCGCTGTTGGCGATCGGAATTTATAATCGGATATAAAGCCGGAAAAAAAGAGACAGCACGGTAGTAAAATCACGTAGGATCACACATTGCTATATGCACCTCGTTGCTCAAATTAATTGGATACATTCATAATCGAATATAAAGCCGTTAAGGAGAGAACAGCATGCTAGTAAACTCACATATAATCACACATTGCTATATGTACCTCGTTGGTAAAATTAATTGGATAAATTCATAATCAGTTGTAAAGCCATAAAGGACGAAACGGCAGCTTATATAAAATCACGTATGATCGAACATTGCTATGTGTAGGCCTACCCTGTTGCTCAAATTAAAGGTACACCAGTGGATTGCGACCGACTGCTTTGCTCTGATATCCATGTGAATATTTACGGCTTCTTCTGGTTTGATGTGCTGGCGACGACTGTAACAACTAAAAACAAGATAATAAAGATAATGATATATAATAAATAATAATTATAATAATATTGTAATGTGATTAATGACAGACACCACTATACCTAAATTTCTGTAATCTTTACAGCTTCTTCTGGATTAATGTGCTGGGGATGCATGTACCAACTAAAAACAAGATAATAAAGATAATGATATATAATAAAGTATAATAATAA